GTGGTATTTGAAATCTGCTGAAGGTGGCAATTCGATTGGACAATGTAAACTTGGATTATGCTATGAGAAAGGCATAGACACAGTTAAGGATGAGCAAAAGGCATTTGAGTGGTATTTGAGATCTGCCGAAGGTGGCAATTCGATTGGACAATTTAATGTTGGAGTCTGCTATGACGAAGGCATGGGCACAGCTAAGGATGAAAAAAAGGCATTTGAGTGGTATTTGAAATCTGCTGAAGGTGGCAATTCGATTGGACAATGTAAACTTGGATTATGCTATGAGAAAGGCATAGGCACAGCTAAGGATGAACAAAAGGCATTTGAGTGGTATTTGATATCTGCTGAAGGTGGCAATTCGATTGGACAATTTAATGTTGGAATCTGCTATGAGAAAGGCATGGGCACAGCTAAAGATGAAAAAAAGGCATTTGAGTGGTATTTGAAATCTGCTGAAAGTGGCAATTCGATTGGACAATGTAACCTTGGATTATGCTATGAGAAAGGCATAGGCACAGCTAAGGATGAACAAAAAGCATTTGAGTTGTATTTGAAATCTGCCGAAGGTGGCGATTCGAATGGACAATATAATGTTGGAGTCTGCTATGACGAAGGCATTGGCACAGCCAAGGATGAAAAAAAGGCATTTGAGTGGTATTTAAAATCTGCTGAAGATGGTGATTCTCATGGACAATTTAATCTTGCAATGTATTATCTGAGAGACATAAATACTATAAAAGATGAAAAAAAAGCGTTTGAATGGTTTTTAAGATCCGCAGAAAATGGTAATCCTGATGGTCAATATAGACTCGGGTTATGTTATCGAAACGGTATTGGGACATCACCAAATCAAGAAAAGGCTATTGAATGGTTGCAAAAAGCAAGAATTACTTCTCAAAAAACAACTAGCTGTGAAAATCTTGATGATTTTCTAAAAAACTTATTACTAGAAAATAATTTAATAACATGGATTCCATTTATTGAATTAAAATTTATAAAGAAAATTGGAGACGGAGGGTTTGCAACTGTTTATTCTGCTACATGGACTCAAAAGAAAAATGAGATCTTAAATGTTGAACTTGTTGCACTTAAAATATTTCATGGAAAAAGCAATAGCTGCAAGGAACTCATGAAAGAGGTAGATATTCGATACTTTGATGTTTTATTAAATTTAAATATAACTAATAGTTAATTAATAATAAATATTTATTTTAAAGTTAAATGCATATTCTAATATCGGATCTAAAAATCCACCATTTTTACAATGTCATGGAGTATCAAGGGATGAAGGTACAGGAGATTATATTTTAGTTATGCAATATGCAGAAATGGGATCTTTACGTAAGAATCTTTACAAAGTTGCAAAAATGGAATGGACGAAAAAAATGGAATTAATATCTTATATTGCATTTGATCTTCGGTTAATTCACTCTCATGATATTATTCATCGAGATTTACATAGTGGAAACATATTACAAACCGATTTACATACAGCATATATTGGAGATTTAGGATTTGCAACAGCAATAAATAAAACATTAAATACGAAATCTAAAGAAATTTATGGAGCAATACCTTATATCGCACCTGAAATTTTACGAGGAAAACCGTTTACCAAAGCATCAGACATTTATTCTTTTGGAATAATTATGTGGGAAATTTTTTCAGGAAATATTGCATTTTCTAAATATGAAGGTAATGAATTAAGCTTAATTGCAGAAATTTGTGAAGGATTAAGACCGAATATTCCTGAAGGTACAGCGACGTATTATACAGAACTTTTAAAAAAGTGTTGGGCTAAAGATCCAAAAGAACGGCCGTCAGCTATAAAAATTCACGAAACTATTTTTAAGTGGAGAAATAATCCTGAAATTTTGGCCGAATTTTTAGAAGCTGACAAAGGAATGATAATAAAAAATAATCATTCTATTAGTAATAATAATAATTCTATTTACAATAGTAAAATTATCAGTTGTATCAATCAACTACACCAATTTGCTATTTCAGATGATAATATTGATGCTGAAAATATAAAAATGGACGTTGATTCTAAAAAGAGAAAAATGGATATTGATACTACTGAAAATATACAAATGGATATCGATTTAAAAAAGAGAAAAATGAATATTGATTCTAAGAGAAAGATGGATATCGATACTACTGAAAATATACAAATGGACATTGATTCTAAAAAGAGAAAAATAGATGTTGATTCTAAAAAGAGAAAAATGGATATCGATACTACTGAAAATATACAAATGGATATTGATTCAAAAAAGAGAAAAATGAATATTGATAGTGATGTAAAAGGTTAATAATATGAGCGAGAAATATATTAAGTAGTAGATCACAGCTGAAGGTATAGATATCAAATTAAAAATCAGTGAAGAATTATGTTTACTTTCATATAAATTTTGAAAGTTTCTGCAAATAATATTACGAAGGAAAACACCAATAAATCACGATCTGATTTTAATAATTTTATCATTATTAAGCCAGAATAACTTACTCAACAATATTTGTTAGAAACTCGAGTTTACTTAGCATAAAAAACTTTTCCTTGTAGGCTAGCTGCACTCCAGCATTCGACAGTTTCTACTACTAAATTTACTACTTATACCCTTTACCTGCGATTCCCTTTTGACTATTTTCCCGTACAAACATTTTAACTTAAGCATTTGTTGTGCTTCATCAGGCCAGACCAATTAGATTCTCTGTTTTACATTACCTCCCCTTTCATAGTAAAAAAAAAATCCATATATATAACACAATAAACCCCAGAAGGTAGGGGGGGTAATGTAAAACAGAGAATTTAATTGGTCTGGCCTGATGAAGCACAACAAATGCTTAAGTTAAAATGTTTGTACGGGAAAATAGTCAAAAGGGAATCGCAGGTAAAGGGTATAAGTAGTAAATTTAGTAGTAGAAACTGTCGAATGCTGGAGTGCAGCTAGCCTACAAGGAAAAGTTTTTTATGCTAAGTAAACTCGAGTTTCTAACAAATATTGTTGAGTAAGTTATTCTGGCTTAATAATGATAAAATTATTAAAATCAGATCGTGATTTATTGGTGTTTTCCTTCGTAATATTATTTGCAGAAACTTTCAAAATTTATATGAAAGTAAACATAATTCTTCACTGATTTTTAATTTGATATCTATACCTTCAGCTGTGATCTACTACTTAATATATTTCTCGCTCATATTATTAACCTTTTACATCACTATCAATATTCATTTTTCTCTTTTTTGAATCAATATCCATTTGTATATTTTCAGTAGTATCGATATCCATTTTTCTCTTTTTAGAATCAACATCTATTTTTCTCTTTTTAGAATCAATGTCCATTTGTATATTTTCAGTAGTATCGATATCCATCTTTCTCTTAGAATCAATATTCATTTTTCTCTTTTTTAAATCGATATCCATTTGTATATTTTCAGTAGTATCAATATCCATTTTTCTCTTTTTAGAATCAACGTCCATTTTTATATTTTCAGCATCAATATTATCATCTGAAATAGCAAATTGGTGTAGTTGATTGATACAACTGATAATTTTACTATTGTAAATAGAATTATTATTATTACTAATAGAATGATTATTTTTTATTATCATTCCTTTGTCAGCTTCTAAAAATTCGGCCAAAATTTCAGGATTATTTCTCCACTTAAAAATAGTTTCGTGAATTTTTATAGCTGACGGCCGTTCTTTTGGATCTTTAGCCCAACACTTTTTTAAAAGTTCTGTATAATACGTCGCTGTACCTTCAGGAATATTCGGTCTTAATCCTTCACAAATTTCTGCAATTAAGCTTAATTCATTACCTTCATATTTAGAAAATGCAATATTTCCTGAAAAAATTTCCCACATAATTATTCCAAAAGAATAAATGTCTGATGCTTTGGTAAACGGTTTTCCTCGTAAAATTTCAGGTGCGATATAAGGTATTGCTCCATAAATTTCTTTAGATTTCGTATTTAATGTTTTATTTATTGCTGTTGCAAATCCTAAATCTCCAATATATGCTGTATGTAAATCGGTTTGTAATATGTTTCCACTATGTAAATCTCGATGAATAATATCATGAGAGTGAATTAACCGAAGATCAAATGCAATATAAGATATTAATTCCATTTTTTTCGTCCATTCCATTTTTGCAACTTTGTAAAGATTCTTACGTAAAGATCCCATTTCTGCATATTGCATAACTAAAATATAATCTCCTGTACCTTCATCCCTTGATACTCCATGACATTGTAAAAATGGTGGATTTTTAGATCCGATATTAGAATATGCATTTAACTTTAAAATAAATATTTATTATTAATTAACTATTAGTTATATTTAAATTTAATAAAACATCAAAGTATCGAATATCTACCTCTTTCATGAGTTCCTTGCAGCTATTGCTTTTTCCATGAAATATTTTAAGTGCAACAAGTTCAACATTTAAGATCTCATTTTTCTTTTGAGTCCATGTAGCAGAATAAACAGTTGCAAACCCTCCGTCTCCAATTTTCTTTATAAATTTTAATTCAATAAATGGAATCCATGTTATTAAATTATTTTCTAGTAATAAGTTTTTTAGAAAATCATCAAGATTTTCACAGCTAGTTGTTTTTTGAGAAGTAATTCTTGCTTTTTGCAACCATTCAATAGCCTTTTCTTGATTTGGTGATGTCCCAATACCGTTTCGATAACATAACCCGAGTCTATATTGACCATCAGGATTACCATTTTCTGCGGATCTTAAAAACCATTCAAACGCTTTTTTTTCATCTTTTATAGTATTTATGTCTCTCAGATAATACATTGCAAGATTAAATTGTCCATGAGAATCACCATCTTCAGCAGATTTTAAATACCACTCAAATGCCTTTTTTTCATCCTTGGCTGTGCCAATGCCTTCGTCATAGCAGACTCCAACATTATATTGTCCATTCGAATCGCCACCTTCGGCAGATTTCAAATACAACTCAAATGCTTTTTGTTCATCCTTAGCTGTGCCTATGCCTTTCTCATAGCATAATCCAAGGTTACATTGTCCAATCGAATTGCCACTTTCAGCAGATTTCAAATACCACTCAAATGCCTTTTTTTCATCTTTAGCTGTGCCCATGCCTTTCTCATAGCAGATTCCAACATTAAATTGTCCAATCGAATTGCCACCTTCAGCAGATATCAAATACCACTCAAATGCCTTTTGTTCATCCTTAGCTGTGCCTATGCCTTTCTCATAGCATAATCCAAGTTTACATTGTCCAATCGAATTGCCACCTTCAGCAGATTTCAAATACCACTCAAATGCCTTTTTTTCATCCTTAGCTGTGCCCATGCCTTCGTCATAGCAGACTCCAACATTAAATTGTCCAATCGAATTGCCACCTTCGGCAGATCTCAAATACCACTCAAATGCCTTTTGCTCATCCTTAACTGTGTCTATGCCTTTCTCATAGCATAATCCAAGTTTACATTGTCCAATCGAATTGCCACCTTCAGCAGATTTCAAATACCAC